AAGGAGAGCGATGAGGGAGGCAGAATTGCTGTTTCCGCATGAACGTTTAGCAAGGACCGTGCCTTCGAGCTGGAAGGAAAGGAGCGAAGGCGTCGCACCAAGAAATATTAATCAAAAAATTCCGAAAATCCATTCATGGAAGTTCAAAAGAGGCGCTTTGAGCTTGAAAAAAAAACGAGGGAAGCAGGAAGTTCTAATTGGTTGACAACTGGTTTGTCATTGTGGAACGCAGTACTAATTGGTTCATTGTTTCAGCGTGATTTTATTGTGATGTCATGTGATTTCATTACGGACGCACGTCTTCAACCGATGATCGATCAGTTTCGAGCTCATAACGTGAGTTAGGCCGTACTGGTTACAACTGAAGAAGTTGAAGCTCACAGTCCACGCTAGTTGCTTGGGTGGGGACAGTGGGCCATTGTGCCTTCCCTCATTGGCCGCTCCATTTTATAACGACTTACAAGAGCGAGTGCCCTCGTGAGGGAGGTACGTGGTTCTGTGTTTCCTCCCCACGATCAGCGCGGGCTTTTTCTCTCGAATATGCGTTTTCTGAGAACATCTTACAGCACCTTTTTTGGTCAGAAATGTATTCATATAGGCAACATTCTCCTGTTTGCTGAGCGAAATGTGCGCCACAGGGCCTGTTCCTGGACCAAAAGTCAGAAGAAGCAAAGGTGAGGTTTTTCTTCCATGATTCGTTCTTTCATTTGAAACCTTTTCGAGAGTGAAAGAGCGGATAAACTTTCCCATCCCAAAGCATGTAGGGCATCAGCTAACCGACATCGGAAGTATAGTAACCGTATGTCTTGGGAAGGTCAAGCTAGTCAACTATATGGCCATAGGGGCGTTTTTTACTCAACTTGTGCACACTACTCGGGTTGCATCTTTTGACTGGACCCATCTGTCGAAAACCTCAAAATCAATCGATTAAGAAATGAAAAGCTCAGGGTAACTTCAGGTAGGGACCTAGTCGCTATCGAAGAGTCGTCAGGTAGCATGGTCTACATTGCATCTGAAGAAGACTTTGATCATCCTGTAAATGCGATGCCATGGCTAAACAAGTGAGTTCACTCTGCACTTTGAACATAGTCCATCCGGAAATCGCGAGGTGGAACTTTATGAACGTCACGAAAAAGGTCAATCTCCTTGCTGTATAGGAGTCTATTGGTCCGAGTTGTCCAGGATATTGCGTTCATGGTGGATTAGGAAAACTAAATGACAATGGCTGACTTGAAATGTTTAGAAGAGGATAGTATGGGTGTAAGAAGGAGCTGCCAGGAAGCGATTTAACGAATGATGTCGCTTGCGCGACGTTCGCATCAGGACCTAAATTGATTCATTGCGAAAGTGCTACTGTATGTCAGTCAGCCAGCTAGGAAATACTAATCGGTTTCGCTATGTCACCGCAAAGTGGATCTCCTGACTAGGGTGAGGTTGAGGTTACGTGGAAGGGCTAAAATAGAACGAGCGATACTCAGCGTTAAAAACAGAGATTGGATCATAGAGTAGCAAATGCATGGATACTGAAGAGCTGTCGAGAAAACTGGAGCCAAGCGTTACAGCTCGTATCCAATGCGGACTGTCCCAGCGACTGCCGCGTGCTCCCTTGCCAAATGTTCTCTGTTGTATATATGTCTGTGCCTATCTTCCGTCTGGATCCTGGCAGGCATCGCAGCTACGCTCCACACTGCCCCCCCCCCCCCCCCCGATATGCACTGTAAAAGGTCACGTTAACTGTGACAACGCTGGTGGGACTATTTTGGACGGAAACCAGGACTGCTCTGAGTTTCGTGAAGATTGCCACTCCTATACAAAAGAGTCATGCGTCCGTTTGGAAAGCCGTTCTCAAAAAGTTCAGCCCTCGTGACACAACTGCTTTTTCACAAACTATTTGTGAATTCCGAAGTGCTCTTGAAGACACAGTCCAGTCCACCCTGGTCATTTGGGCGGAGACAGAGACTTATTTGGCGTTTGGCGGAGAAGCGCCTTGTGTTTGCCGTTGGCCTTCTTTTCTCTTTTTAGTGCTGCAATTGAAGAAAGCGGCGACCAGTACGACCCTGCGGCTTTCTGTAACCGCCCACACGATAAGCGTGGACTACGCCTTTGGATAAGTGCTTCCCAGGAACCGCATGAGCCGCGAGAAACGCGGTAAAGAAAGGAATACGATTGCAAGGTGGTCTTGAGTGCCGGAGCGCAATTCGTGACAACCTTAGTGCTGGCAAAAAAACCATTTTCGGATTGAAAGCCTGGACGTACTGTGTTTCAAGGGCTCAGCCAACTGACTTGAAATTTTAAGTTGCTTAACTTGGATTTATTCTTGATCATTCGGAGCTGTTAATTCTAATTTTCAGATTTTCCAATATCAGCTTGTCTGCTCGGTATGTCGATTGTCATGTGTATTTTATGCGTCATTCGTGGTCTGAATATTATAAATAAGCAAAAGTGAGTTAAATGTGGAGTTTTTCAATCGTGTTATCTAAACTTAAGAGTGCGAAAAGCCTCTCTGGGATGAGGAAGCTCCCCCCCCCCTTGACGTTATAAAGTGAGCACATGTGGTTTGGTAAAGGCCGTCTCATAGTCAGGCAACGGTCGATTTATGTACGCGATGCCAGTCCCGTAATTCCGACCAGCCGCGCTTCACGGTTGCGCTGGTCGCTAGACTGCTGCAACTTCATTCCCCTGCTATTCGTGATAATTTTGAAATGAAGGAGAGGGGTAAAGACTTCGCGTTGATCAGTCCGTTTTTGGGACGTGGCTTGTACCCCTCCACAGGGGGCTGAGGGGGAAAAAGACGTGCTTTTCTTCGACTTTCAAGGCTAAATAAGTTACACTTTATCACGTTCTGACCGAACATTTCCACCATCAAATTCAACAACACATTGTACACGATCATGAAACTCCACCACAGCCTTCTGGACGAACGCCATCGAGAGATTCTGCCACGCGACCGTGATTCGGTGCCTGAGTTCAGCGAGGTCGTTGATTTCTCCGCCACTGTAGACCACCCTGTTGAGCTCCGCCCGAACCCGGTAATCGAGGGGGTTTAGGTCAGGTGACACACTTGGATATTCCGTCTTCTTCAGGTACTCAACGCCCTTCGATTCCAAGTAGGCGAGAGTTTTTCGATTCCATGTGCTGGCACCCAATCCTGTAGCAGTACGAAGTTTCCAAGATGGTACAGGCGACGACATGAAGGCAGGATATTCTCCTCGAGTTGGTCGATGTGAAAGTCAGCGTTCACTTTCATCCGAGGTTCACGGGGACAATATCTACCATATCGGTCTTCCCATTCCAGGACTTCCGGTCCATACCATCAACCCGCGCCTTGGCGACTGCGGTGAAGATGATATCCTGGACCGTAGCGACGTTGTCGGAGCTGCTCGATGTTGGAGGTCTTCCAGATCAAGAGTGCTGGTCCCCAGGTAGCTGTCCATGGGTGACTCCATACAAGAAGTTTCGCAGCTGTTTGGAGGTGACGTGAATTCCATAGGCCTTCTTCAGTCCGGCTGCGATTGGAGATGGCTTCATATTTTGGTGTACATGAAGGTGATGAGCCTGCTCCTGCTTATCGAGGAACATCTTGGGTATCTTCCGCCCTGGTACTCGTATCCATGTCTTCTCTCTGGGCTGCGTATCCTTTACTGATATGTGACTCGGGCAAAAAGTCTTTTTTGCATCCCCCCCCCTCCTGTACTTCCATTCAAAATCGTAGTGGCTTCTTGAGTGCCATGTGATCTGTACAATGACTTGAAATGCCAATGAGACAACCAAGGATGCTCTTATCTTTAAACAAAAATCTGGTACCAATTTAGCGTCCCTGAGGGGTGAAAAGACTTTGGTGTGCCTGAGCGGTATCCGGTCCCGGATTTGATCCTCGGGCCGCGCGCGTGGTAAGCGTGCCATTGCCATCACACCACCTTCGCCTATATGACAGTATTGGAATAAGATTATAGCATCATGCGATGGCTAGTCAAATCCTAAATTTTGGATGGTGTGGCTCACATTTCGGCTTCCTTTTTTCGGGAAAAAA